AAAAGGAACTAACTACTCTAAAGAGAGCACAGAATCTCACAAAGGTAACAGATTACCCATTACTCTTATCATCACTCGATATCAAAGCCCCAAGTGGGAGACAACAGACCAGAGAAAAGGCACTTCTGCACTATTGTCCCCACGAGGAGCTCCAGCAGGGCCTTTAAACCACCAGAAGCTGATGAAAACAGGGCACAGCTGGTGCAGGGAGGAGCAAATGGCCGAGTCTGCGGGCATGCTCCTCAGATGCAGCAGCAATGTGGGAAAAGCAATGAAAACACAACACAAAAGGTTCCAGCCGAAGCAGTCGGACGAGATGACTGACGTGCCTCTTCTCTGATCTTGCCAAAATAAAAATAAACCTGCTGAAACCCACAGATTGACTGTTGGTAATTTGCCCTGTAATCCATCAGAGATGGTCTCCTGTCTGCAGCAGGAGCTCTTCTTCCGCTTTTGTGATTTATTTTTGCTAAGATTTAACAAAATAAATGACCCAAAGAAAGAATTTTTCAGGTTTTTCTGCACAAATATTTGATAGTAAAGTAAACATTGTACAATTAAAAATAACAATTTACCAGCTTTGATATTAAACTTGGTATCAGAAGCTTTACCCGTGTCTGGATGGAAAGTTAAAGTGAAATGAGAGCTTGGATGCGTGAACGGATTCTCAGAAGGTTTCTTTCAGAGAGAGGAACTCGTTCTGGGTGAATGCTTGTTGCAGCTAACTCGGTCAGTACTTAGAGAGAACAGCATCAGACACCACCTGTGTGGTACCTCACCCATTCAGACGACCCTTGTGCGGATCCGGAGGTCGAGGGAGGATGTTGTCAGCCTCAGGGTACCCGGTCCGGTAGCGAAGACTCGCGTAAAACCGACTCTCTGGTCCAAAGATGTCGCAGGTACACAGTGTCGAGCGTCTGGCGTAACTCTGAAGGAGTTTCTCGTCTTAACTCTCAAAATCAATAACTCAGGAGTTTTGCGTCAGCTGGTTACAGGTGCGTTTATTCGAAGCTATTCTGTCGGCGTGACAGAACAGCAGGTGGAGGCTTCAGGGCGGCCGACCCTTACTCCTCAGGATGGTGGTTGGTTCAAGAACTGAACTTTTGCTGCTGGAATTCGGTTTTAACAAAACCTTTAGAACACGCCCACTCTCAGCCTCAGAAAGCGTGGTCATGAGTAAAAGACGTGATGATGCTGCCCTTTACCCCGGATATCCCTTCTGAATGAGGCTGGTTACGTGCGAGATGACCTTCTGGTTTACTGAACCGCATCCCTCGATTATAAACAATTATTATTAATCAAAGAATCCATTAATTGAATGCATTTATAATGAACCATGATGATGATTGTTGATGTTTATAATAAACAGTAATAAAGTTAAAGAGTTTATTGCAATTATTAAATTATAATTGGAATCTTGAAGTGTCCTTCAGCTTGGGACGGAACAGCCGCAGATGAAGATGATTTCCAGCAGACATCATGGCTCCTCGCTTGTTAATCTGTGGGGCAAAGTTACAGTCGACCCAGCTGGGAACATGTGACCTTTGCCACAAATTAGAGGCCATTCATGACGCTACAACATCAAACTTGTGATTTTCTCAGCCGGTGAGAGATGAAACCTGGAATCAGAACCAAGCTGGGATGGAAGCTGAACCAAGCAGCAACCTGCTCTTCCCACCTTTTCCTCCTCCTCGGATGGGTTTGGAGGTAAATCTGACCTTTTATTTTACAACAAACATGTTTCTAAAGTAAACTTTGTGATTGGAAACGTATTTTTTGTCATATGTAACTTTTCAGTAACATCCCTTTATTTTCTTGGGCAAGTTCAACATTTCTTACATGAGCACCAAAGTCAAACTTTGACCTCTGAACTCAGGATTAAGTTTGATTCTCATGAAATAATTCAGACAATATTTTCATGCAGCTTTTGACTCTAAAGTTTGTTTTGATTCAGAATAACAGAACTGCTGCTTTTCTAAGGGAGACCTGGTTCTGACCCAGATGGATGGTGGGGCAGACTGACTCATGGCTAGTGGTGCTACTGAAACTCATTCTGATGCTGGATGTGTTTTTAAATCTTCAGAACCTTCTGCCCTCCTTCTCTCCTCCGCCGCTGCCTTCCTGGGCCTTTAGTGGGAAAGATGCCGAGATTTCTCCAGACATCAACGTCATCAGCAGCATGCTGATGCTGTGGTACTTGTGTGGTTTTCACACCGGCTGCTACATGGTCAGTAACACGTCCACCACTGATGTGCCATCTCACCTGTTTAAAGTAGGGTTGTGTGAAAATGTAACCTCACGGTTATTGTGACCGAAATTACCACGGTTTTCGGTATTATCGCGGTATTTTTTAAATGCGTTACATTTTCAGACAACTACATAAACCCTGTATATCAGGAAAATATTGTCTCCAGTTTGTGTCTAAATTTAGCCTAAAATGTGTTATTTTGTAATTATGTTGTTTATTTGTTTACATATTTCCCCTTTAGTCTTTAAAATACCAATATTTGCTCATAACTTCTTATTTTTTGTCTGTTTGATGTCATCATTTAAAAATATTAGACCAGATGATACTCAGTACTCAAGTAGCCTTCTAATCGGATACTTTTTTACCCTTACTTGAGTAATAAACCCTATATCAGGAAAATATTGTCCTCGGTTTGTGTCCTTCCAGTGAGCTTTGCAGATGTGGGAAAATGTCATCAGGCAGTAATCGTTGTTAAATTCATAATTATTCTCGGAGAGAGACCAACTCTTATCTGCCCCTGGGAGCCCCGTAATGCATAGCTGTTAATAGCCTGACACTGTATATATGTATGTACATATATGTGTGTGTGTGTGTGTGTGTGTGTGCAGTTTACCACTATGAGTGTTAGATGTGAGTTTAACATTTAGTGGGTAAAAATTATTATAATTAATAAGTCTGATTATATGTTTCAGACTCGTGAGCAGTTCAAGTCTTCTTCCAAAGACGATGCTAAAAGTCCATGCTGAACGCGTGTCTGGACCCCGTAAGTACAAACTGTTGACACGTGGCTCACTGACACCCGACTGCTGACCTGACTGTTGCGTGAGCTCAGTGACTTTCCTCCGATGTCTCCAGTTCTAGTTGTGTTGTTCCTGAAACGATCACATGATGTCTTCTGGTTGAATTATGTTACCAGTAGAACTTCAGCATGGCTGACTCACCAGGACTTGGTTCAATCTCAACACCCTAAAAGACTCAACTCACCAGTTAAAGAGCTGACCCCTTCTTTCCACTAAATCAAATCAAACCACTTTAATTGTCACGTCACATGTGCAGGTACACTGGTACAGTACATGCGAGTGAAATTCTTGTGTGCGAGCTTCACAGCAACAGAGTTGTGCAAAAATACAGTAATGTAAAAACAAGTAAAATATAAAAATGGCTAATCTAAGTATACAAATGAATAAAGTAAACAATAAGATAAGAGATATAAAATATACAGAGGTTGGTATGTGCAGAGCTGTGGCATTAATGTACAGTATGGAGCGTGCAATGTTGGAGTTTCAGTAGTGAGGGTGAGGTGTCTGTGAAGTGTTCAGCAGTCTGATGGCCTGATGGAAAAAGCTGTCTGTCAGTCTGCTGGTTCTGGACCCGATGCTGCAGAACCTCCTTTCTGATGGACATCAAAGCGTGGCGAAACGTACTACGCGGTAATTATCCGCCATTATAGTGGATGAGTTCCTTTCCGCCGGCAGCAATGTGACATGTTGGACACGCCCCAGAAGTGAGGGCATGCTATCATTACGTTTCGAGTCTGTTTTTGACGCGCTACACCTCCAAAACACGTCAAACTCGGCTGTTTAGATTGAGGCAGACAGGAAGTCAAACACAGTCTCTAATTTCCCTCTGGGATTAATAAAGTATTATTGAATTGAATTGAAAAGCAGCGTAGATCATCTGGAAACTTTCAAAATAAAGGTCACGTGCAGTACATCATTTCTGTAAGCGATGTAAACAGAACACAAAATAACCCACAGACATTTCTTCCATGCAGCTGTCTTCTTGGTTGTTACTGTGTTTGAACGTCTGAAATCACGTGTGGCGTTGCAGTTCCTCCGTGATTTCATGATGTCATGGGATTCAATTCAATTCAAGTTTATTTACAAAGCGCCAAATCACGACAAGTCGTCTCAAGGACCTTCACGTAAACATTCCAATACAGGTCAGGTCATTAAGCCAATCAGTAAAAAGTTTCCTATATAAGGAATCCAGCAGGTTGCATCGAGTCACTGACTAGTGTCAGAGTCTTTACAGCAATCCTCATACTAAGCAAGCATAAAGCGACAGTGGAGAGGAAAACTCCCTTTTAACAGGAAGAAACCTCCAGAGGATCCTGGCTCAGTATGAGCAGCCATCCTCCACGACTCACTGGGGATGGAGAAGACAGAGCAGACACACACACACACACACACACACACACACACACACACACACACACACACACACACACACACACACACACACACACACACACACACACACACACACACACACACACACACCATTGTGATTTCTTAGTAATTCTATTAGGTGAGAGATAAACTTTATTGTATTTATCCTAGTGAATCTATAATTAAACGGGTAAACTAGTAGTAGCACATCCAACGTCAAAGAGAGTAAAACGTTATTATCAGGAGAGGGAGAATGTTTAAGTGGTTAGCAGCAGTGTGCTAGACCAGCGGTTCCCAAACTTATTTAGCCACACACCCCCCCAGCCCATCAGGGCATGGCTATATATATATACAATAAGAGTCCTAAACACACACATTAACCTCGTGAGAAGCTTATTTTTATGTTTCTGCTTAATTTTCAGACTCTTATTGAGAAGGATTCAAGAAGGTTGGTTCTGAAGTGAACGCTGCTGCAGAAGTAAAATAAACATTTCAGAATAAAAGTAAAATGACTTTATTTGAGTCAGTATCCTGTTCAAACACACACCTGTATTCAGTTAGTGACAGAAAAAAGCTTTTCCCCTGAAACATTTTTATTTGTGAGCACATCTGATGTCAGATGACAGCGACGGTCAAGCTCCCTGCCTGCTGGCTGCTCCTGCTGACCGCTGCAGGTAGATTCATGAGCGTGGGATCCTAGGAATGTTAATTAATTTGATTATGTGGGGAGAGGGGAGGGGCCTATGGTCAGGTGGAATGGGTCCGAGCGGCGTGGAGAGGCGGAAGATGGATCGGTCCTCTGGCTGGAGCCAGCTCTGCCTGCTATGATGGAGCTTGATTATTAAGAGCTTTATATGTGAGAAGAAGGATCTTAAAATCTATTCTGAATTTAACAGACAGCCAATGTAGGGATCAGCTGTGTGGAACACTTTCAGTCCCATTTGGGGTCAGAATTGATCCCGGTTGGAAATGAGCTCACGAATAGAACGCCGCTATTACGTTACGAGACCGCTTTCATGGCCGGTGGAAATCTGGGGTGAAACACGATGGTTCTGTTCTGTACGGACCTGTGGTCTGCAGCTCTGACCTTGGAGAGAACAGAATAAACTACGAGCTTGTTCCGGGACTAACACAACTAATAGCGAGTAGAAATGATTTAGATAAAAGGTCTGAAATCCAGAATTAGACATTCGTGATTAATACTTAATTTTTTCTTTCTCCTTTAGGTCTGAGATGCAGCCAGGAGATGTTTTCTGGTTTGGTTTTGTTGTAATTTGGAATGGATTTGCATGATTTTGTTCACGTGAACGGTTTTATTTTAAGAAAGATTTATGTTTAGTTTGAGGTTAAGAAAAGCTCTTGGTGTTTTGTTTACAGTTTGTAATTTAAAGTTTGTCTCGGAGAGATGGTCTGAGTGCTGCGACAGCAAACCGACGTCTCAGAGAAAAGTCCTTTTGTTAATAAAAGAGTTGGTTTTACTGTGTTTTTACTCTCAAGGCTTCGTCTTCGTACCGCTGGACTGTAATTTCAGACCGGGCGGCTGGTTTACGCTGACCCCACCTGTCGGAGATTGCAGCTTTGTGTACTTTGACGTGAGCAATGACACCAAGACCCGAGGAGTCGCAGCTCTTCCTGCTGGACAGCTCACGGGGAGGGGCTGATGGACAGGAAGCACGGCGAATGAACATACACAGACACACACACACATAACCATACACACACAAACACACACAGACACACACATAACCATACACACACACACACACACACACACACACATAACCATACACACACAAACACACACAGACACACACATAACCATACACACACAAACACACACAGACACACACATAACCATACACACACACACACACACACACACACATAACCATACACACACACACACACATAACCATACACACACACACACACACATAACCATACACACACACACACACATAACCATACACACACACACACACACATAACCATACACACACACACACACATAACCATACACACACACACACACACATAACCATACACACACACACACACATAACCATACACACACACACACACACACACACACACACATAACCATACACACACACACACACACACATAAACACACACACACACACACACACACACATAACCATACACACACACACACACACATAACCATACACACACGCACCACACCCATAACCATACGCACACACACACACACACACACACACACACACACGCGCACGCACACACACACACACACACACACACACACACACACACACACACACACAAACACACACACACACAGTGGCCTGATGTGCTAAATAAATCATTTGCCAAAGGAAACACACAGAAGCTGCTGACTGGACAGGTGTCCAGGAGACGTCATGGACACCCGTCCACGAGGAGGAGACACCCCAAACGGTCCTTTAGAGGCTGCTTGCTCCCAGAGCTGCTTCCATGTTCATAGAAAGGAGAATGGAGATGTTGGAAAAGGTGCTGAACAGATGATCACTGAGCTAAACCCAGGTGCCTGAGGGAGCTGCATCAGGAGTGGACAGAGTCTGGACTCACAGCTTCTCCACTCAGACAAAACCCTGCACACCAGTTTGGGTCGACCTTCTCCTGAACCAGAGACGACATCAGGAACATCTTCTTCGGGCTCAGGTGAACCAACCCTGTGGTCCAAAGTCCTCTTTTCAGATGAAAGTAAAATCGGCAGGTCATGTGGAGATCAAGAGTCTAGAGGAAGAGTGGAGAGGCTCAGGATCCATGGATGCTAGAGGTCCAGAAGGAAGGTTCGTCAGTTTGGGTCCGTGTCATCTGCTGGTGTTGCTCCTCTGTGGTTTCTGAGGTCAGCAGACATTTACCCTTTAGAAACCTTCCACTGACAAAGTTCATGGAGATATTTTCTAGCAGAAAGCAGCTCCTGCTGACTCTGCCAAAAGGACCAGAAGCTGCTCCAGTGATCCTGTTGGAAGTGGGCTGGATTACTGGGCTTAGCCCGACCCTAACCCATCATCCTGGGTTAGAGTTAGCAGGCTAACCCCTGACTCCAACCTGGCTACAAGTGTCTCCATCTGTGTGTGTGTGTGTGTGGGGGGGGGGGGGGGGGGGGGATCAACCTTTGACCCTTCTGACCAACACGCAGCAACAGTTTCTGTCACGCCTGAATGCTCCAGAGCAAACTGACTAAACCCACGGTCACATCCATGATGGGAATCTCTCGTTCCACAGGATGCATTCATGCTTTCATCAGGATGTCGCTGCAGAAATCAGGACTCGTCAGACGAGTCAACATTTTTCCGATCCTCTATTGTCCAGTTTCCTGTTCTTAGCTGACGGGAGTGGCGCCGGTGTGGTCTTCTGCTGCTGTAGCCCATCTGCATACCGTGGCTGTAACCAGGTGAGTTGCTGTTGCCGTTCTACCAGCTCGAACCAGTCTGGCCATTCTGCTCTGACCTCTGGCATCAACGAGGCATTTTCACCCACAGAACTGCCGCTCGCTGGACGTCTTCACTTCAAACCGTTCTCTGTAAACCCTAGAGATGGTTGTGTGTGTCGATCCCAGAAGATCAGCAGTTTCTGAATCACTCAGACCAACCACGCCACGTTCAAAGTCGCTTACATCACCTTTCTTCCCCGTTCTGAAGCTCGGTTTGAACCGCAGCGGATCGTCTACACCAGGGGTGTCAAACATGCGGCCCGCGGTTCGGATCCGGCCCGCAAGCGGGTTAAATCCGGCCCGCGAGATGGTTTTGTAAACTTTATTTTCATACTTTAGAATGTAGAGTGAAAATAAACGTATCTTTGTGAGCAAGTTTCCTCTGTAATGAGTCTAAATAAAACAAAGCTGCGCTCAAGGCTCACACAAGAACTTGAATCACATCCTGAAGTTGGCCGCCACTCAGGATGGGACTTCTGATGTTGATGTGCTGGTGAAAGCTAAAAGATGTAAAGTAAAATGAGTCAAATATACTTTAAGTGCTGCGTGGAACTGATCTAGCCATGTGATCTGTAAGCTCTTTGAATCACTAAGGACTGTTTATTTTATTTATTGATTTTTTAGTTATTTCAAATGTTCAAGTACACTTCAGGTGTTGTACTTGTTTTATTTTGGATACACTGTCCTCAGGCTCCAGCCTTGTTTTATATTGATTGTATTAAAACAAAGAAAACAACCTGAAGTTGTTTTTAATTTACCGGTCCGGCCCACTTGGGACTAAATTTCCCTCAATGTGGCCCCTGAGCTAAAATGAGTTTGACACCCCTGCTCTAGACCATGTCAACAAGCCTAAACGCATTGAGCTGCCACCATGTGATTGGCTGATCAGTAATCTGTGTTAAAGAGCAGTTAGACAGGTGTGCCCAATAAAGTGGCCGGTGAGTGTAGTTAGCTGCAGTTAGACAGGTGTGCCCAATAAAGTGGCCGGTGAGTGTAGTTAGCTTCAGTTAGACAGGTGTGCCCAATAAAGTGGCCGGTGAGTGTAGTTAGCTTCAGTTAGCTCTCTTAGCTTGTTGTCAATCACCAGCCTCACCCTCACAGCGCCGCTCTCAGCTCCTCCTATGTGTTTCTCCAGGAGTGACGAAATGACCAGAAATCTACAGGTGACAGCACCGGGGGGTGTCCATCTCACACACACACTGGTCTAAACCAATCAGGCTCTGGGTGGGTCACATCTGAAACAGTCTGACTAAACAATGGTTCTGAGGATCTGATGATGATCTGTGCATTTGCTGCTTTTGTTTTCAGAAAAACTCACAGAAGCATGTTGAATAGTGACTATTTGTCTCCCTCTAGTGGTGATTATGAAACACTCCAGGAGGAAACAGGCAGAGCTGAACTCTAATCAAAATCAAATCAAATCACTTTTATTGTCACGTCACATGTGCAGGTACACTGGTACAGTACATGCGAGTGAAATTCTTGTGTGCGAGCTTCACAGCAACAGAGTTGTAAAAATACAGTAATGTAAAAACAAGTAAAATTTAAAAATGGCTAATCTAAATATACAAATGAATAAAGTAAACAATAAGATAAGAGATATAAAATATACAGAGGTTGGTATGTGCAAAACAGAGGCATTAATGTACAGTATGGAGTGTGTAATGTTGGAGTTTCAGTAGTGAGGGTGAGGTGTCTGCGCCGTGTTCAGCAGTCTGATGGCCTGATGGAAAAAGCTGTCTCTCAGTCTGCTGGTTCTGGACCGGATGCTGCAGAACCTCCTTCCTGATGGAAGTAGTCTGAACAGTTTATGGCTGGGGTGACTTGAGTCCTTGATGATCCTCGCCGCTTTCCTCAGGCACCATGTGGCAGTTGCCTCTGATTGGCTGACAGCAACGCCACTCTTCCGCTGCCTTCGCTCGCTCGTCTTTCTTGGGTTAAAATGCAACATTGATGTCTCATAACACGATCCTGAACGTGTTCCGCCATGTTGCAGAGTAGCTAATGGTGTTTGCTTTGGCCTTTTTCCTCCTTTTCTGTTTTATTTTGAAAATCTTCTGTTGTTTTCTTGTCTCAGCTGCTCTTTCGTCATCAGCTTCTCTGTGATATTTATTCTTTTCTCTCTGAGTCGGAACCCAGAGGTTCTAGAGCTGTTCTGACAACCAGCAGACCTTCATGAGAGCAGGATGTTCTGGAAGATCTGGAGTGGGCGTTGTGAAGCAGGAGCTGAGCTGAACGACAACGTTCTGGATGCTCATTAGATATGAATCAGGCAAGGGCGCCCCCAAGGGGTGGCCAGGGGTGGCCATGGCCACCCCCTAGAAAATTGCCAAAAAAATTGTATTTTCTCTCCATAGTTTTTTTTGTGAACACAGCAACAGGTGAAATAACCTAACAAAAGGCATTTTAAATTAAATTTGGAATAACATTTGAAATGTATTTTCTGAAATGTTTATGTTTGTAAAATTTAAGTTAAATGTTTTGGATACGTACTGTTTTTTTAAATAAAAACGAACAAAGGAGCAATACAATACATCACCACAGGCTAAACTCTCCCAGAGTTACCACAAGGACCAATTTGGTGTGCCACCCCAAAAATGTATTTGGCCCCATCTGGCCACCCCTATCAAATTTTTCTGGAGGCGCCCCTGGAATCAGGATCCAAAGACTCCAAGCAGCAGAAAGCAGTGTTCTCCTCTGGGTGGTTAGGATCATCGTAGAGCCTCTGCTCCTCCAGCGGAGATGGTTCAGGGACCTCAGGCCTCCTGTTTGGGTCACTGGGAGACCCAGGGGCCGATGTAGAAGGAGCTTGGAGAAGGAGGTCGGGGATTCTTGGATGGACCGACCCACGTTTTATAAAAGTGGTGAAAGATGAATGAAGCAGTGGAAAAGTAAAAACTTCCAGAATGACCCACTTCTCTAAACTCAGAAAACACGGCTCTGGGTGTGGTCGTCAGAGCAGAGGAAGAACCGGACCGGACCAGAACCCTGGAGGATCCATCACCAACACAATCTGACTTACA